CTTATTCCATAAAAGATATAAAATGCAGCTTATTCCGTGAAAGATATGAAACTGGGATAGGTTAACATTTTATAATCATGCAGTTTATTTCGTAAAAAATTTAATTAAAATGCAGCTTATTCCATAAAAGATATAAAAATGAGATAGGTTAACATTTTATAATCATGCAGCTTATTCCGTAAAAGATATAAAATGCAGCTTATTCCGTAAAAGATATAAAAATGGAATAGGTGAACATTTTAAAATCATGCAGCTTATTCCATAAAAGATTTTAAATGCAGCTTATTAGTCAGTGGATCGATTTATTATGCAAATTCTAACATTAATCATTCATGAAATTTCCAGAGTTATAGCCCTCAAATCACGTTCATATCAATTTTGAAAAATCGAAACAGTATGGTATTTGGTTTTTCATTTATACAGCCAGCAAACATTTCCATTTCCGGTAGTGAAATATACAATTTAGTTCACATGAAACGCTTCATACCGCTTCACACAACTTACTAGCTAAGTATATTAATTCAATTTTCAATCAAAACTCATAAGAATGACTTTTAACAATATTGGTGTATACTATCTTTTAATTTTACTTCCCCAAGCAGGTGAGCATGACCTAGGATCATTCTCATAGAGAATGCTGCTGACTCTACCAGAGGGTCTGTGTTGGACAAATACCGCTGAATTTACCAGAGGGTCTGTCTTGGACAAATGCCGCTAAATGCCGCTGACTTTACCAGAAGGTCTCTCTTGGACAAGTGCCGGTAAATGCTGCTGACTCTACCAGAGGGTCTGTCTTGGACAAATGCCGCTAAATGCCGCTGACTCTACCAGAAGGTCTGTCTTGGACAAATGCCCCTAAATGCCGCTGACTCTACCAGAAGGTCTGTGTTGGACAAATGCCGCTAAATGCCGCTGACTCTACCAGAAGGTCTGTCTTGGACAAATGCCGCTAAATGCTGCTGACTCTACCAGAGGGTCTGTTTTGGACAAATGCCGCCAAATGCAGCTGACTCTACCAGAAGGTCTGTCTTAGACAAATGCCGCCAAATGCCACTGACTTTACCAGAGGGTCTCTATTGGACAAATGCCGCTAAATGCAGCTGACTCTATCAGAAGGTCTTTCTTGGACAAATGCCGCTAAATGCCGCTGACTCTACCAGAAGGTCTGTCTTGGACAAATGCCGCTAAAAGCCGCTGACTCTACCAGAGGATCTGTGCTGGACAAATGCCGCTAAATGCCGCTGACTCTACCAGAAGGTCTCTTGGAGAAATGCCGCTAAATACCGCTGACTCTACCAGAAGGTCTGCCTTGGACAAATGCCGCTAAATGCCGCTGACTCTACCAGAAGGTCTGTCTTAGACAAATGCCGCTAAATGCCACTGACTTTACCAGAAGGTCTCTCTTGGACAAATGCCGCTAAATGCCGCTGACTCTACCAGAAGGTCTGTCTTGGACTCTACCAGAAGGTCTGTCTTGGACAAATGCCGCTAAATGCAGCTGACTCTACCAGAAGGTCTGTCTTGGACAAATGCCGCTAAATGCCGCTGACTTTACCAGAAGGTCTCTCTTAGACAAATGCTGCTAAATGCAGCTGCCTCTACCAGAGGGTCTGTGTTGGACAAATGCCGCTAAATGCCGTTGACTCTACCAGAACGTCTGTGTTGGACAAATGCCGCTAAATGCCGCTGACTCTACCAGAAGGTCTGTTTTGGACAAATGCCGCTGACTCTACCAGCAGGTCTATGTTGAACAAATGCCGCTAAATGCCGCTGACTCTACCAGAGGGTCTGTCTTGGACAAATGCAGCTGACTCTACCAGAAGGTCTGTGTTGGACAAATTCCGCTAAATGCCGCTGACTCTACCAGAAGGTCTATGTTGAACAAATGCCGCTAAATGCCGCTGACTCTACCAGAGGGTCTGTCTTGGACAAATGCAGCTGACTCTACCAAAAGGTGTGTCCTGGTATGATGATGTTGGCTATGATTTTCGTGACTTCTTACATGAAGGAATAGCCAAGTAAATCAAAGTTCCAAAGTTTTCACCGTAGTAAATCAAAGTTCCAAAGTTTTAACTTTGGTACTATAGTTAACTATATTAAACTATAGTTAACTATAGTTTACTATAGTATTTATTTGTTAGGGAAAAAAATTAAAACTTATGTGGAAGCATTCTAGAATAATGTTTATTCTAAATGGTTAAAACCATGGCCCCGGATGTTGGGCGGGGCCACAACAGGGAATCCAAGTTTTACATAGAAATACAGTTATAGAAAAAAATCTCTAAAAATCTTCTACCCAAGAACCACTGCCCCAGAAAAGCTGAAACTTATGTGGAAGCATTCTGGGGTAGAATATCTGAAGGCCTGTGATTGAAATATATTGGAAATATCTTGTAAAACCACTGGGCTGAAACTTATGTCGAAACATCATGGGGTAAAGTACTCTAAGAGTATAAATTGTTAAAATAATGATCCATGGGGGTACATGTAGGCCAGGGCCACAGAAATGAATACAAGTTTTACATATACAAATATACAGGAAAAATCTCTTAAAATCTTCTTCTCAAGAACCACATGGGCAGAAAAGCTGTAACTTATGTGGAAGCATCCTGAGGTAGAGTAGATTCTAAATTGTACAGATCATGACCCCCGGGGAAGAGTGTGGCCACATTAGGTAAAACGGGGGGGGGGGGGAGGGGGGATCTGGTAAAGAACAACATAATTTATGTATTTATTGAAGTTATCAATCGAATACTTGTTTATCCAGTGGTTTGAATTATGAAGAGTGTCAATCTTATTGGTTAAAGTATTTATAGAATAGAGTCTAGTATTCTGTTATTTAAAAGCACACACGCTTTACCATATGTAAAAGTTAAACGCCTTTCGAGGGCTCTCTCTCTATCTCAGTGCAGCCAGACTTCCACCCGCCCTTATAAGTATCTTTGTTTTTATTGATAATATGTTTTTGTTTTGTAGACAAAGGGTATGAGTTGTGAAGAAGGAAATTTGTATAATATTAAACGGCACTTACAAGATCGCGTCTGTACCTATGTACATGTTGTTATTTATTTTATAAATTATTTATTTTCGTTTAAGTGTAAACAAATAAGAACATAAGGCTAAAGTTACACAGGTGAGCAATGTGGCCGATAGGCTCTTGTGAAGATGTTGTACGATCTCCCTCCCCACTTTTTGCCGTGAGGTCAAACAACAAGCATTCGAAAGAAATGTTACGAAAGGTTAGAGCCCCCACTCCTACTTTAATAGAATTCAAGGTGTGGTGCACAGCTAGGTTGCTTTTTGTTTTAGTTTTTTGTGTTTCTTTTTTGTAATTTGTATGTAATCTCTTAGTGGTTGCCCCCTTTGAAAACCGTTGCTACGAGCATGAAGTGCCTGTTTCGTGGATAATGGGGCACCGAACCTGGACCCCCCCTTTTAAAAATGGCTGCCCCTGGGATATGTTGGTATAGGAAGCCGTACCGCCTACAGGCCAAGGCATGCACCCGGCTGTCATGCCGTTGGGCAGACAATTTGGATCCTCGTACTTCGTGTAGGGTTGGGGGTTACCCCGGACAAGGGGGTTAATTATTTACTATATGTATATAGCGGGAGAGAGCATATTGCCTTCCGTCACACAGCTTTTGCTGGATTAATGTCAGACCATATGGGAGGGGTTTACCCCTGGGTGTCCCTCTACACCTTCGCCCGGCCAGAACACTCACATCCCCTTTGGGAAGGGTAATGTGTTGCATGGTATGTCAAGAAAAGAGGTTAAGATAATCGGTGGATTTCTGGACTCCTCTTTAGGTAGCCTGTGTAGGTATATCATTGTGGATTGAGGCTCAACTGATAACACTGGGGGCTGTAACCCATGTATACACGAATATAAATGTAGTGAGGTCCCTTGAAAATCCTTACTCTTTAAGCCATGCGCATAAAGGCTTTAACCAGCTTGTCCTTAGAAACCCAGCTAACATAGGGGGACCCTGCTACCGTTGGTAATAGACCAAACCCATTGGGTGAAGTAATACCATGTTTTCCTTCACTGAAAGAAAAACCTAGTGAATTTAACTAGTGTGTTTCGTAAAGCGTTGGTCGTGGTTAGTAAACTTTCAGTTTACTAGTTAAGATAGTGAGTTGTGGAGTGGGGGTCGTATAGATACTTAGATACCTAGTGAAAGTTACTCATCACTTCTAAATTTACTAATATTATCTAGTAAATATACTAATATCTGGTAAAACTACTATTAAGGTAGTGATTGTATGGACAGTGAATCTACTAGTTTTCTTCGTGACATTAACTATTTATTTTTTTTTTTTACAGTGTTATTCCCTTGAGTCCACTTAGGTTTTTAAAGTAAAAAAAAAAGTTTACCAATCTATTTTGATATTTTTTTCGAAAAATCTTACGTTTTCCAGGATTTTTAAAGATTTTGATATTTATGTTCCAGAAAAATAACTCAGAATCGGCGATAATACGAAAACTGAAAATTCGCCGCCACTTCCCGGAGGTGGCATTTTCGGGTCAATTTTCGATACTTACGAACCGAAATAAATTTCAAATTAAACTTACAATTTATTAATAGTACAATACGTTTAGCACTTACCAACATCCTTATTTATGGTTTATTTATAAAAAAATATACAAACCGATGTAAACATTTCACCAGACTGTCGAGACTTGTTTTTATTTCAAGAAGTTTAAAATCTTTTCAGTCCTGTATCGAAATGTGAAGTGTAGCCTCTTTTTATCGATATTGGTGAGTACTAAAGCACTGTGCTATTGATGAATTCTGAATAAAGCATTGTGTTCGGTTCACAATTTTCGAAAATCAACTCTGGTTGGAGACGGCCAAATTTCATATTTTCGTAATGGCGCCGGTTCTGACGCTTTCCTGGCACCTAAAATATCAAAATCGTACAACGCCTAGAGAAAGCCAGCTTTTTCGGACTATATTGACATTAACCTTTGTTTTTTTCTGTATTTAATCTAATTTTAGGGGAGTCTTCCTAGAAAACCAAGGTCGAAAAATATAGACATTAAAACGCTTAAAAGGGATCTTAAAAAACTTCGGGAATTCACCGACATCGAACAAAAAAGTATTGAAGATCAAGATAAAGAAATTTTAGAGAGATTAAAAAGCATTGGCAAACAAGAGGCAATCATTGCAAAGAAAGAGAAAACCATTGTGGATAAAGAAAACTTTATTGGAGATGAAGTAAAAATCATCGAAGCGCATGAAAGAAAACCTGAAAACCAAGAAGAGAATATTGAGGAGCAAGAGCGAAACATTGTCGACCAGGAGAAACGCGTTGACGATCAAGAAAAAAAAGTTGATCATCAAGAAATAATCCTTAATGAGCATGAGAAAACAATTGAAAAGAAAAAGGACAATATTGATAAACAATTATTTTATATAAAAGAAAAAAGGAACACTGTTGTTGAAGTGTTGAAATGCCTGAAGGAAGACAACGATGAAAATGAATTAGCAAAAAGCCCAGAAGAACAAAATGTCATTAGAATGAAAGAGAACAAAAATCTTGATGAAGAGAGAAGCCTAAGATTTGAAATTAAAGACATCGATAAGCAGGAAAAGAAACTCAAAGAGCAACAATCTGTCATTGAACAGCAAAAAAGAGAAATTGATAAACAAAAAAAATATATTGCAAACATAAGATATTTCATCATATGTCATAGGGAAAATATAGAAAATCAACGAAATGTTATTGAAAGGGTGAAAAAACATCGTTTGGGATGGAAATCCTATACTAAAGTCATCAATAAGGTAAAAAAGGTTTTATATTCTTTTATTTGCTTACATGCACTTTCATCTTCATAGGCGTCAGATCCGTAAGGGGGGGCTAGGGGGTCGCGCTTAGCCCCCCCCCCTCTTTTTTTGCAAAAATAGATATTATATAGGCATTAGAAATTAAGATTCACCCTCTCTTGTTGGTTTAGCCCCCACCCCCACCCCCGTCCACTTTCAATTTGCTTCCGACTCCCATGATCTTTATAACCATCATTAATGATGCATTCTTTCTATTAAGGTTGACAGGATTGGAATTCCAAATCTTATGAATTTTGCAGTAGCAATGATGGTAACTATCGGATAACCCTCATAAACAAGTACTATGAAGTATAATGCGATTAGAAATTGAATGTACATGTTTTATACTTTTCAAAACGTCAATCTACTTTTCGAATCATGTGCTTTTTATTAAAAGTTTTTATATCATAAAAATATATCAAATCAAATGCATTTCTCAATTTGTACATCATCTTCATTTTTTTAGATTCTTGCGGCTGTTTTGATGACGTGGAGTAACTTACTAGAAAAAAACAGAACTTGTGAAAGAGAAGAAGCACTTACATCACTCAATATAAATGTTTCGTTTCCATGTAAATACCAGGATGTCAGAGAAAAATTGGAAAGCATTACACAAATAGGACTTGCGTCATTGTGCTTTAGTATCGTCTTTCTTTGTGTTGGTTTTGGTTTCAGGTTTATGTCCCCCGGGGGTCCTTTAGTATTCCGATTAGTATTTGTAGTCTTTGTAAGTATACATAATTATACATTCTCTCTCTCTTAGAAAAACAGAATTGAATTCAAGAAAAAATTGATCTTTTAAAAAATCTGCATTACATTATTATCCTTTAATAAAATATTGTCACATAATTTTTTGAGTAAAAAAATCTATCATGTGGCTCTTGACGAAAGATGTTACATGTACTAAATAATATATACGAGGGCCGTTCAAAAATTACGCGAACTTGTTGCACAGAAAAAATATTTGACGACATAATCGGGCAAAATGTCACACATAATATAAAAGAATCTTTACTTATATGGTCTTAAAAATTTCATATCAAAATGTTGTAAATTGGTATCAATTTTGAGTGATTTTTCAGGACATATCATTAAGTCACGTAGCAGCAAAATCTTAGACGTCACGGGCATTATAAAAAAAAAATGCTGTTGAGCTTTCTTTTTAACATTTTCCCAAGAGTACCTGTGCAGTTTGAATTACCTTATCTACTCAACATCCAAACACCATTTCTTGTCAAGCTTAAAATCTATTTAACAAGAAAAGAATATTCTTTTTTGTTTTAAAACCAAAAACTGCAGGTATTTATGAGATATAGTGTGATATTGGTGACTCTCAATCATGTTCTTGACATTCCGGATAAAGTTTTCGTCGATAATCTTCTTCCCGTCCTCCCGTATAGCCTTTTCACAGAAGTCTAACGGTCTAAAATTTCAATTTGCTTTTTGTGGACGAATGTCACGAATACCTTAGTTAACTACATGTTTTATCATGCATATTTTGGATCTATGTTGGCGATATCTCGAGCATTACACATAATTTAACAAAAGTGTGGTGCGCCGTCATTTCAGGAGACGTCATTTTCACCGTCGTTTTCACGGGAATCGCATCAGAGAAAAATCACTATATTTCTGTTAGGACTTCAAATATCACGTCAGAAATCTCAATGCATAATAATAGAACAATTTAAAGATACATTTGAGAAAATTGTCGAAAACTATCAAGAATTATAGAAAATTAATGAGTTAAATTTTGGATTCCGCATGCTTTTGCTTTAAATTTTTTGTCGTGCTCCGTACCTCTCCATCAGCGATATCAACATACAGATAATTTTAGTAGAATTTTTTTAAAATACAGAATTTTTGCACAAAATTTATTGGAATCTGTAAGGTACATATCTCTATCAAGTTTCATAACCATATGACGCCTGTAAGAGTATATAGCACAGTCCGCGTAATTTTTGAACGGCCCTCGTATATTGTAATAACTTTATGTCTAATTTATCATCTTAAATGCAGCTAAAATGGTATTAACGTGTAAAATATATTTGAGCTTGCAAGCTTTAAACCCTAGTTTAAATAAGGTATTTGATAATTTAGATATTTTGAAGGTCCATAAACTAATATTTATGATGTATCTTGATATATTGTATTTCTCTTTTCAATTCAATGTAAAAGCGTTCATACTGCAATTGAAAATATTTTGTTCACTAAATAAATTCTTTATCATCATTAAACATATATTAAGTGAATCAGCAATGATGGTTTTAGCTTATGTTTTTTTTAGATTGCTCTTGATGCAATTACATTTTCTTGTTTACTTCTGCCAAGATATGAAGCACTTGTTGGCTTTCAAGAAAATCAAACAGAAACGGTGAGTTTCCTTCATGCTTACTCTCAGGAATAAGATTCCATATCTTAGTAAGCATTTTATACGTGTTTAAATTATTGATTTTATAATTTTGGTTATCAAGGATTATGGAAAATTAAAGCGAGTTATGTTCGACTCACTGCAACAGACATACATCTCTGATGATATCTCCAATTTAAATACTATGTCAGATAGATGGAACCATTTCTTTATTAAGGTAAGTTACTTTGTCAAGGACTTTATAAAATAAGTAAAAAATTATACAGTCATGTGAAAAATCCTTTAAAAAATATATTTGATACACTTTGGAAATTGCTTCTAAAGAATGGTACTTTAGCTCACCTGAAGCGAAGGCTCAAGTAAGCTTTTCTGATCAAATGCCTTCGTTGTAAACTTTTCACATTTTCATCTTCTTAAAGCTTAACAAGATTCGAAAAAGGAACGTGTCCGTATGTTTTGTTCCCGATTCTCGCTACTCTGCAGACCCCAATATAAAGACCGGGACTTAGTCACTGGTCAGTCGACACCGGTGTAGAGGGACGTATGCTTTACAGCACTCGATAGCGAGAATTATAACGTAATACTTCGTCTAATGCAGGAACGTAAGACACCCCCAAAAATAACAATTATAGTTGTACAGGTGAGTGCAGTATACAAACAACACAAATAAACGTGACTGCTATAAAATGTAAACTAAGGTAATGCAAGATAACCAGCACGAACAAGGGTCGAAATTCCACGCCGATACCCGTGACAATAAAGAAGTCAGGTGTGACGAATGCGACAAGTATACCCTAGTGTTGATGTATCGTACATAATTATATCGAAAATAGCGTATGCCTATTTAGCTCACCTGAGCCGAATGCTCAAGTTAGCTTTTCATCACATTTTGTCCGTCGTCCGTCCGTCCGTCTAGCTGTCTGTCTGTCCGTCCGTAAACTTTTCACATTTTTGACTTCTTCTTAAGAACTATTGGGATAATTTTGACCAAACTTGGTACAAAGCATCCCTGGGTGTAGGTTCGGGTTTAAATTCTTAAAATGAAGGGCCAAGTCTTCTCCAAAGGGGAGATAAGCAAGAAAGTCAAAAATAGGGTGGGGTTATTATAAAATCTTCTTCAAAAGAACCACTGGGCCAGAAAAGCTTAAACTTATATGGAAGCATCCTGGGATAGTGTAGATTCTAAATTGTTCAAATCATGACCCCCAGGGTTGGGCGGGACCACTATAGGGAATCAAAGTTTTACATAGAAATATATAGAATTTTTTTTTTTAAAATCTTCTTCTCAAGAACCACTGGGCCAGAAAAGCTGAAACTTATGTGGAAGCATCCTGGGAAAGTGTAGATTCTAAATTGTTCAAACCATGACCCCTGGGGATAGGACAGGGCCATTATTTGGGAATCATAATAGGTTATTACAAGGGGGACATCTGGTAAAGAACAGCATGGTCATAGCTACTCAGATGAGCGATGTGGCCCATGGGCCTCTTGTTACGAGTTGTGTTCAGCTTTAAGAAACACTAGGCCAGTTTCAACCAAAGTTGCCACAAAGTGTCCTTAGGTGAATGGGATTCAAGTTTGCTAAAATGAAGAATCACCCCCCTCTTCCAAGGGAGATAATAATGAATAAGTGAAAAATTAATGGCATCTTTAAAAATCTTCTCAAGAACCACTGGGCCAGGAAAGGTGAAACTCAATTGGAAGCATCCTCAGTTAGTGTAGATTCAAGTTTGTGCAAATCATGACTCCCGGGGGTAGGGTGGGGCCACAATGGGGAATCAAAGATTAAATCTTCTTCTAAAGAACCACTGGGCCAGGGAAGATAAAACTTATTATGTAGAAGCACCCCCTGATAGCGTAGAATCAAGTTTGTTAAAAATCATGACCCCCGGGGCCACAACGGAAAATCAAAATTTTACATAGGGATATAAAGGAAAAGTCTTAAAAATCTTCTTCTCGAAAACATCTGTGTCAGGAATGATAAAACTTATGTGAAACTATCCTCAGGCAGTGTAGAATCAAGTTTTACAAATCATGACCCCAGGGGATAAAACACGCCACAATGAAAAATCAGTTTTACGTAGGAACATATAGGAAAAATTTTTAAAATTGTTGTTTTGGAAAAAAGCAAAGCCATGATTGGTCATTTTAAATGGAAGTTCCATCAGGTAGTTTGAATCAAATTTGTTCAAATCATGACGTGGTGGGTGTTAGGGGGTGTAGGGTAGGCCACAATAAATGATCTCAGTTTTTTTTAAAGGAATCTATAGGAAAAAATCTTCTACTCGTGAGAAGAAAACACTTGCTGTGGCCTTCAACACGGCATTTAGATGTATCGACGAGGTATTGTCAATTAACAATGATAAATTCAATTCCTACGTCGATACGATATATCCTGGAAAGCTTGAGATAAAAGATACCACAGAGTCTCACACATCTGCTTCATACTTGGATATTTTACTTGAAAATAGAGTTATTGGTAATCTAACAGCCAAACTATATGATAAACGTGATGACTTTAACTTTTTTAGCTCAGCTGAGCCGAAGCCTCTAGTGAGCTTTTCTGATCACATTTTGTCCGGCGTCCGTCTGTCTAGTTGTCCGTCTCTCTGTCTGTCTGTAAACTTTTCAAATTTTCGACTTCTTCTCAAGAACCGCTGGGCCAATTTCAACCAAACTTGCCACAAATCATCCTTGGGTAAGAGGGATTCAAGTTTGTTCAAATGAAGGGCCACGCCCTCATTCAAAGGGAGATAATTGGGAATGAATGAAAATTTGGTGGTATGTTTTAAAAATATTCTTCTCAAGAACCACTAAGCCAGGAAAGATGAAACTTATGGGGAAACATCCTCAGGTAGTGTAGATTTAAATTTGTTCAAATCATGACCACAGGGGATTAAACAGGCCACAATGAAAAATCAGTTTTACGTAGGAACATATAGGAAAAATCTTTAAAATTATTGTTTTGGAAAAAAGCAAAGCCATGATTGGTCATTTTTAAATGGAAGTTCCATCAGGTAGTTTGAATCAAATTTGTTCAAATCATGACGTGGTGGGTGTTAGGGGGTGTAGGGTAGGCCACAATAAATGATCTCAGTTTTTTTAAAGGAATCTATAGGAAAAAATCCTCCTCTCGTGAGAAGAAGAAAACACTTGCTGTGGCCTTCAACACGACATTTAGATATATCGACGAGGTATTGTCAATTAACAATGATAAATTCAATTCCTACGTCGATATGATATATCCTGGAGAGCTTGAGATAAAAGATACCACAGAGTCTCATACATCTGCTTCATACTTGGATATTTTACTTGAAAATAGAGTTATTGGTAATCTAACAGCCAAACTATATGATAAACGTGATGACTTTAACTTTTTTAGCTCAGCTGAGCCGAAGCCTCTAGTGAGCTTTTCTGATCACATTTTGTCCGGCGTCCGTCTGTCTAGCTGTCCGTCTCTCTGTCTGTCTGTAAACTTTTCAAATTTTCGACTTCTTCTCAAGAACCGCTGGGCCAATTTCAACCAAACTTGCCACAAATCATCCTTGGGTAAGAGGGATTCAAGTTTGTTCAAATGAAGGGCCACGCCCTCATTCAAAGGGAGATAATTGGGAATTAATGAAAATTTGGTGGTATGTTTTAAAAATATTCTTCTCAAGAACCACTATGCCAGGAAAGATGAAACTTATGGGGAAACATCCTCAGGTAGTGTAGATTTAAATTTGTTCAAATCATGATCCCTGGGTGTAGGGCGGGGCCACAACGGCCGACGAAATTTTTACATAGAAATATATAGGAAAATTCTTTAAAAAATCTTCTTCTTAAAAATAAGTAAGCCATAATTGATCATATTTATATGGAACATCCTCAGATAGTGTAGATTCAAATTTGTTCAAATCATGACCCCGGCTGGTTGGGCGGGGCCACAATGGCCGACCAAAGTTTTACATGGAAATATATAGGAAAATACTTTAAAAATCTTCTTCTTAAGAAAAGCATCGCCATATTGGAAGCATCCGCAGGTAGTGTTGATTCAAGTTTGTTCAAAACATGAACCCCCCCCCCCCCCCCCAGGGTAGGGCGGGGCCACAATGGCCGACTAAAGTTTTACATAGAAATTTATAGGAAAATTCTTTGAAAATCTTCTCAAAAATAGCAAAGCAACAATTGATCATATTTATATGGAAGCATCCCCAGGTTATGTACAGCTGTATATTCAAATTTGTTAAAATCATGACCCCGGGGGTAGGGCGGGGCCAAAATGGCCGATCAAAGTTTTACAGAGAAATATATAGGAATAAAAAAAAAAATCTTTTTCTCAAGAATTACAAAGCCATTATTGATTATATTTATATGGAAGCATCCTCAGGTAGCGTAGATTCAAGTTTGTTCAAATTATGATCCCCCGGGGTAGGGCAGGTTCAAATTTGTTCAAATCATGACCCCGGTGGTAGGGCGGGGCCAATATGGCCGATCAAAGTTTTACATAGAAATATATAGGAATTTTTTTTAAAAAATCTTTTTCTCAAGAATTACAAAGCCATTATTGAAGCATCCTCAGGTAGTATAGATTAAAGTTTGTTCAAATCATGACCACCAGGGGGTAGGGCGGGGCCAAAATGGCTGATCAAATTTTTACATAGAAATATATTGGAATTTTTGAAAAAATCATCTTCTTAAGAATAGCAAAACCATGATTGGTCATGGGACTACTTTTGGATATAAACTTTTCAATAATAAACCAATTTCTACTTTTTCCGGGCCACAGTGATTAGGTGAGCGATTTGGTCCATGGGCCTCTTGTTATTGTCTACTTCCTTAAATTATGCAGAAATATACCTTCATCACCTGCCAACGGAGCGTATATATCTCAATTGATTCGATACGCAAGTGCATGCTCTATGTACGAACAATTCCTTAAACGATGTAATTTATTGACAAACAAGTTGAGGAAACAATAATACCAGCAGTCTCGTTTAAAGACATAATTTTCTTAATCGATACAATGACCCTGTCAGCAAATAAAATTTATCATTCAGTCAAATGCTGACTGCCCCTTTTTCGTGCCGATTGTTAGTCCATTATCTTTACATTGAATTGACGACGGATTTATTCCCCGGTCATGACAAGTAGCACAAGGCGGGTGTGACCGGTCAGCAGGGATGCTCACTCCTCCATGGCACCTGATTCCACATCTGATGTTTCAGAGGTCCGTGT